TGTAGTGATTATATTGGCTAACACAAATCTGAATATCCAAAGTTACTGCTGTTTTTTTCAAGCAGCAAAGTTACAGCACAGTTATCCAGCTCACCAAACTGAACACTGCTATCAACATATGCAAAGATTTTAAAAAACTCCATCTATACTGCGCTGCAAAGTTCCTTTTGCTCCATGATCATTACCTGAAAACTCACTCATTTGGAATACAAGTTCAACAGACCTCAAAGAGACCAAAAAAACCTCAATTGTATCGACTGCTTTTAAAAAAGAATAGAGTGCCTCGAAACTGAAGAAGTATCCTCTTTAAGGTCCTTAAAGAAGTACTGGGTACTGCTAACCCAATAGAGAAGTAAATGACTTAAAGTAGTGATGCAAGGACACTTGAACTGAAGTTAACCCACTGGACAAAGCTGACAGCACCTTTCAAGAACGATTTTTTTTTTTATTTTGTATCCAGAGCTACATCTAAAGCATTTCACCTACTGCATCCAGCTGGTTGGAAGCAGTTACACAGATAGGCTTTAAGCAAGTATTATAGAATAAGAAAGAATGATGTAAGGCAACTATAATGAAACATAAGCAGCAATGAATACCAAACTTCTACAACATAACAGAACAGAGAAAAAAGTATAAGATGCAGTTCTGTGTTAAGTATAAATATAAATCTATGTTTAAGAAAAGAAATAGGAAGGTAACAATATCCACCTCCTCAATGTTGTGTGTGTACACCCCTTGCAATTACAATATTTAGTCATACCCATGTTTGCTCCTGAGAAAAGCAGCAGTTGATCTCAATAGCAATTACAGTTTTGTAAAACAAAAAGTAAAAAAAATTGAGTTACAGTTACATTCTGACCTCCCTTGATTTAAGACACAACAAGTCCTAACATTATCTTTTCCACTGCTTCTTCTTTTTTTTTTTTTTTAATTATAGAGAACAAACTCTGACTTACAGATTTTCTACAAAATACTCCAAACCTGAAGACCACAGTATTTATCAAAGGAAATTAAAAAAAAAATTAAAAAGGCTTAATATCATGCCTGGTGCCTGGTGATAACACTATCGCCACTTGTAACTAAAGGAAGACTATCAAATAAATGTGTTATCATTGCTGTTTCTTCCTCCTGAGAGGCAAATTGGTCGAATAACACCTTTAAAAAAAAAAAATACTGTAAGAGCAAAATTTTATTTTTGTTGTTTTTATTTAAACAATAAGCATTTCTAACCTAACATTCCCAACACGACTGCCATTGTTGTATCTTCTGCTAAGCAGTCAACCAAAAAGCAAGTTCTAAATGCAGTACATTTCTTCCTGTAGAAGAGATACAGAAATAATCTGGGTGAAAATTTCAAGTTAATGCCTCAGTCAGAAAGCAACATCATCACAAAAGAAAAAAAAAGATTAAAACACCTCATCTAAAACATCATGTAAAAGTAAAAGCAACAACAAAAGCCCCGGTATATCCCCTAGTTACACCATGGGCAGAAGAAAATCTTGCTATCATTTCAGGTTATTGACAAGAAGGCATCACTGGGAAAAACCAACAGAAAAGACGGACAAAAAGCCAAAGAGTCAGCGCACACTTGTGGATTCTGCCGCCAAACAATGCACCTGAATGAAGGCATCTGTAACGCCTCCTGGACCCCCCCCTCACCTTCCCGCACGGCTTTCTATGGCGCTCAGAGAAGCACGAGGGCAGCAGGCAGACGCAGCGGGCGCAGCTCACACCACAGGTTCAGCCACGGACAGCATTTGGGCAAACCTTTCAGTGCCAATAACCCGAAATCACCTCAGTCTGGAAGAAGCTGCCGCACTGCACTTCTCTGCCCATCTCAATTCTAGATAACGAAAACCCATTCTTCAGTGCCGAAACCTGGTTTTAAAACGCCATCCAGAGAACCTGCAGAAATCAGGCTGTGACACAGTTTCCATCCCACTTACACAGTTAGATCCGTTTCCACGCACATTACCCGTCCTGCAGCAAAAGCACAACGGGACGGCGGGGCGGCCCTCCGCTGGGACCGCAGCCCGAGCGCATCCCCACCCACGGCCGCACGGAGCCGACAGGCGCACAGCCCGCGGGGCTCAGCGCGGGGCTCAGCCCGGCACACGCAGCCCGGCACACGCAGCCCGCCGAAGGGCCGCGGCCGGCTCCCCCGGCGAAGCCCTCGGGCAGGTGAGGGCGGCCGGCCCGGAGCCGCTGCCCAGCCGCCCCGCGGATCGCTCGGCCCCGGTGCCGCCGTGCCCCGCTCGGTGCCGGCCCTGCCTATATTAGGTGAGAGAAGCGGGGCCGGGCGCTGCCCTCCGGCCCGTGCCGCCCCGCGGTCCCCCGGCCGCGCCGTGCAGGTGCCGCCAACCGCCCCAACGGCCGCGCCGCCCGCCCCTCCCCCCTCCAACGGCCGCCCTCCCGCAGCGGCTGCCCCCTGCTCTCCGCACTGCGGGCGCGGCCGACCGCCCCCCCCTCCTCTCTCCTCCTTTCTCGGCCTCCTGCCTTCCCCGCTCTCCTCAGCTCCGCCGCCCGACCGGGAGCCGCTTCGGGCTCCTTACCGCGGCGGCGGCGGCGCGGCCGGCGGACTCGGGCCGGCGCGGCGGCGGCGGGCTCACGCACGAGGGGCGCTTAACCCCATCGCCAGCCTCGATAGCCGCCCGGGTTCCTCCTGCTGCCGCGGCGGGGAGAGAGGCCCGCCCCTCCGCCGCGCCGCTGCCAATAGAGGCCCGGAACGTTCCTGAGTTACGGCTGAGCCGGCCAATCAGCGGCGCGCCGCCCGCCCTCAGCGCTGCCGGCGAGTGGCGCCCCTCGGAGCCTAGGCGGGCACAGGCCCATCCTGAAGACAACAACCAATTAGAGGAGCTGCTGCGCTGACAGACAGCCGCGATCACCAATAAGAACCCCATTCGGCGGGTAGACCGGCACAGCAGCGCCCACCCCCTGTGGGCAGCCAGCGACCATTAGCAGCGCGGCGGTGCGCAGACAGACTGCGGCCGCGGCTAACGGCAGTTAGGGAGCGTGGCTGTTCACCCGGGGTTGGCGGTGAACTCTGCCTAGATCGCAGCCACGGAAAACTCGGCTGGGGCAAGCTGGGGCTGTACTCCCAGCTCGGCCTCTCAGCCTGGCCCTAGCACGGCACAACGCCACAGCGTTTCCCCACCCCGGAAGCGCGTCGGGACGCCCGCGGCTTCCTGCCTGCGCGCGCGCTGCCGGTTTTACGTCACTTCCGGCGGCGGCATTTGAGTACGGAGCGCGCCAAGCCGTGAGGCGCTGGTTGGGCGCCTGCGGGCTTCTTTCTCTCGGTCCGCGTTTGCAGCAGAAAGACTCGCTCTGCTCGCCCTAACGCTGGGGTATTGCCGCACATGTGTAAGTCCAGGACAACCAACAGAAACCTTCGCCCCCGAGCAGTGGCGGAGGTGTCTGTTTTCCCCGATAGTTCTGTGGTAAAATTGTGACGTGATGCGTAGCGCTGCGATTGCCGTCCTTTGTTCTAATTGATCGTTCTTTTAATTTCTATGTTCCGATATCTTAAGTCGTTTTAAGATTTTTTTATTGTAGAAGAATGGATTCTGAGGTTTTCTTAAAGCTTTGCGTTTCCCATTAAGCCTCACGGAAAATACAGTCATAGAGCAGTGAAGAACATCGAAAGGAACACGATTCTCCGATTCTGTAAGATGTTTATAAGCTAAACATGTGGCAGAAACACCCGTTTGTTTCACAGGGATCTGCTGCGAGCTGCATGGAAATGCTGTTCCTAATGAGCAGCCTACAAAGTAAATGGTTTGTGTTATGACCATTGCTGGTGATAGCAAGCAGCTGTTTTGGAGCTCGAAGTGCCCACTGGGCCTTGAAGTTCTCATCAGTCATCTGACCTTGCAGTACATGAGTTTGTCTTAAACGGTTTGTGTCTTGTGTCACTGGAAGGAAGAATGGCTGTAGTGAAACAAGCAGCAATGACAGAACTCCAGGATTGTTTTTGTCTGTTGTTATGCTTAATTTTCCTTTTTTTGATATTTACACTCCTCCTACCCCTCAGTACTTACTTTTCCAAGAGATTTATGAATTCATTGAATGCAGTAGATGCTGGGAAAGGTTGCTTTGAAATATTGCTGATTTCATGTCTTGTATATGAACAGACTTGTATTCTAACAATGAGAGGAAAAGGTTGCAGTGCTATCATCTTCCTGTTTTGGTGTTATGTTGTTGTTTTTTTCTTAGCAGTACAGTTTCCTTAGAAGTTTGAGAGATCTTTTCATCTCAGATTCTTTCCTGGAAATCATAACTACTGTATGAATATAGTTATAAAACTTACTCTGTTATTAACTTTCAAAAAGTGGAAACTGAACTGCATCAGCCAGTTTGTATGTACATTCTTGGACACTTTCCCCCTTTGAAAATCTTTTAGTGGACCTGAAAGATAAGATTTACCTGTACAAAAGACATGTTGACACCCTGTGCACAGACATGTTTATCCTGTTGTTCACAAGTTCTATGCTTCATAATTTTTACTCAGTTTTTTCCCCAGAAATGAATAATGTTGTAACACCACAGATCTTCACTATCCCTGTTTTTAAGAAGTACATTCACTTTCCACTCTCTACTCCTGAGATTCTACAGCAACTTCAGATGAATAGATGCTATTATTTTAGTAACCCTGTTATTTCATCCTTCTGGCCCTTCAGAAAGCTTGAGAAAATACCATATGCATTTTCATTTATTTTGCTTTTGTGACTTTGTTTTGTTAGTCATGAGAATTCTGTCACTGCTGTTTACTCAATGAAGTCCTGAATGAAAAGCTGCATCTCTGCACCTGAACTTTTAGGTCTCTTTTACTTTAGGAAACCAAAGTTCTGTGCTTGTGATCTAGAGATGTGGGAGGGTTGTCATGATGTATTTTACAGCATACTTGGGATTCAGGAGTAAATGGGGGGAAAAAAAAAAAAAAGAGGAAACACGTGCACTCACCCTTTATCTGTTCTCAGAGCTTCTGAAGCTTTAATGGGTAGAAAACAGGCATAAAATAGCCTCCTTGGGATATCAATCAGTGTTTCTGATACACTGTCACTTTAATCTTGTGTTTATTTGATGAAATTACAAAATGCTGTGCGTATTTGATCTATCTAAAAATGAGCTATAAATGACCACTTCTACCAAAGTAATAGTATTTAAGGCATTGATTTTTCAGCTTAATTAATTACAAAGAAATCTATAGAAGACATGCACCCATGATTCCAGTTTAGATTCTTGTTTTCATGTGTGTATGGTAATATGTTTAGTGGTTTATATGTTGTGCAAAGGAAAACAGTTCAACAGAAACTGTGGGGGGGGGGGAAGGGGTGTCTGTTTACAGTCACTTTTGTCAACAGTACTTCAGTAGCGCCAAATTCTTTTCCTACAGAAGAGCAAATTCCTGTTAACTTCTTTTTGTAGCTCTCAGTCCTATGTTCCTTTCGCTTTCCTTTGGCTCGCCCTGACTTTAAGGTGATGCATGCTACCATCCATGCTGTGGCACCAAGAGGCTGCACTGCACTGCACTGAGCAAGTTTGGCTGTCTTGGAAAAACTCGCCTTGCCCAGTGGAAGAAATTCTTAGTTTTAGTAACCTGATGGCCCTCAGAAAGCCCTTGGAAGATGGAGCAATATTATTCTCTTGTGCAGCAGCATGGTGGCACCTAGGTTTTCTTCACTGAAGAGAATGTAACTTTGGCTTGAAGAGTGTGCATCAAGTTTTGTACCTACAAATTCATACATGGAATTTATGAATGAGTGCTATTCTCTTTCATATAACCTCATCAGAATGTTTTATTTAACAGTACTCCAGGATACTAGAAGCAAGTTGTTGCAAGCTCTGTCTTGCATGATCTTGCTTTACTGCACTGATTACTTTAGCCACATCCATTGACCCCAGGTCTATCTATGTAACTAGTCAATGCAAAAACCAGGTTATTTAGCCCAGCAGATCTTTGAAGTGAATGGCAATAGCTCAGTGAGTTTCTTATTGGAAGTGTTATGATTCATCCTATCAAATCATATCTGACTTCTGAGTTGCTTCAGAAATGCATAAGTTTCAACAAATCTGAGCACAACGTGTTCTTACAAAAATTTGATACCAAGCCTTGTAATACAAAATCTACTGTTGACAGTGACAATACAAGAGGTGTATTTTGGCTGATACTCTTTGTTCCTGTGCTCATTAAGGTCTTGCTCCTTTTACAGGCTGCGAGTCTAAAATTAGACAACGAGGCAGTGCAGGATCAAAGACCTTTTCTTCATGCTCTGATGTATGGTTTGTTCCTTCACACATGTTTAGTTGGTGTGCTACTACTGAACAGTCTGATGTCTTAAATCTGTTAAGTTCTCAGAGAACAAGAGCTAGTATTTCTTCTCTGGTCCTGTTCCCATAGATAAAGTGAGCGAAGTGCAGTATGAGAATTTTCGTTGATGTATTCTGTGCTTTATGAGTGTTCCTTTCTAAAAGGAAGATTCTGGTTTAGTTTTGTTTCTGCTGCTGCTTTGTTGTTTGTTTTTCACGTGAAACATGCTGGGTGTATTTTGTCATTACTTCCTGATTTGACTCCTAGAGTTGTGGATATTTAATTTCCATGTTAAAATGAAAATGTTCTCTTTGTAACTTCTCTGAAAAAAGTGAATACTTACTTTTTAATGTCTGTAAGTAAGCTGTATTTGAATGATCAGTAACTATCATCATTGAATAGGGAACTTGAAAAAAAAACAAAACCTATTTCATAATGTTGAAGAAGTGATTGTATAATCAAAGAATATTAAGATGTTATAGTTATGAAATAAATAAGAGAGTTAGGCAAAGCAGATTATAATAACACAAAGAAAATAGATAGGATACTTACCCATATCCTAGGCTTCTTATGAAACTCCAGTGAAGTGGATCTCCAGAAGAGATCCTTCCCCACTGGTAGTCAGCTCTTAAATGGGCCTAGGAGAGGTGCAGCCAGGCTCCACCCCTTCCAGCAGCACAGGTGAATTGCCTTCACCTGTGCTCCCAGGGCTGACTCATTGCTCGCCTCAGGGGTCAATCAGAGGTTCAGGCTGTGACTCAGCAGTTCCCATACAGTGATGTGCACCAACCTCTTCCAATTGAGTAGTTAGAACATTTTATTGACAATAAGGTTGCAGGCTCTTTATCATCTGCATTATATTGTACTTTCTAGAGAATTCTCGAGATGTGATTGGCCGACCTCTTTTCAGTGGTCTGTGGGGGTAGGACAAGGGGAAATGGTCACAAACTGGAACATAGGATGTGAAAGAACTTCTTCCCCGTGGGGGTGACGGAGCACTGGCACAGCCTGCCCAGGGAGGTTGTGAAGTCTCCTTTTCCAGAGATATTCAAGACCCGTTTGGATGCCTGGCTGTGCAACCAGCTGTAGGGAGGTTGCTTTGGCAGGGAGATTGGACTTGGTGATTTCTGGACATCCCTTCCAACCCCTGCAATTCTGTGGTTCATAAGACTGGTCCTCAATCTCACTTTGTAGCCTGGAGGGGGAAAAACCTCCAAGCTCTTAAAGATTACTAGGATACTCCTCAGTGGGTGACTTAAGAGTTTGCCTATGTGCGTGCTAAATTAAGTAGATTTCTTGTGTCCAGCTAAAACGTGTTTCTTGGACAGGTCCACCTCAGATAACTTTTAGCCAGATAAGCCAAAAGATGAAAATGAATCAACTTCAGGGGAAAAAAAAACACCAAAAAACTAATGTGTTTTCAAAGGCATAAAGGTTATAAAATAAAGTGTATTGATAAAGCACAGTGAAACACTGAGATCTTGCCAACTTTCTCTTACAATCTTGGTGAGATTTTTTGATGTTGAAAACAGCATTCTTCACCTGCCCCCTTTGCTGAATGACTCCTCTTTGGAAATGGTTCCATAGGGGAAAACTCCCTCCTTACACCCACGTGTTGCCATGATTTTATTAGCTATAAAGAGAGAGATGAAGCTTTATTATTTGTTTTTAATTCTAAATTAAGGCAGGCAGTTCTATGGCAACTTCATTTAGCACTTTATCTATATGGCAATACAAGTGAAGCTGTGCTACTTTGGAAACAGGAAGGATGTTTGAAATGTTTTGGATATTTTGCTTGCTTTCTTTTGGGTAAGGGTTATCAGGGGAGATTGATCTTCCTTATCAGAGGTTCACTGTATTACAGCAACTTTGTGACTTTGCCTTTCTAACATAAGCATTGTGAGGATCTTAATGACTGTCATATCTTGGAAGTTACTAATTAATATGGTGGTGATTCTGATGTTCTTCCTTTGTGATCTGTTTTTTACAAATTAAATTGTCATATGTGACAGCCATTAAAAGCCTAGACTATTAGGTGTTAGAAAAAGGCTACTGGTTATACTATTTCCTATTCATTTCTTTCTTGTGCTGTCAGTATAAGAGCAGCTTATGTGTAAATGTCAAGTATTTCAAGCTGTTATTATTCCATCAAGTATTTCAAGCTGTTATTATTCCATGAGGTTTTATTCTTTAATGTGTTGCAGACCTATCTTTTAAGTAAGACATCTTTTTTTGGGTTTGTTTCCTGTAGGTTCAAAAATGGCTAATGTGCTCCAGGACACATGTACACTTGAAGCTTCTTATTCTGAAAATGTTGATACTGAGCTGTCCTTTCTGCCTGAAAGACTGAGAAAGAAACTGCTTCCTTTTCAGGAGAAAGGCATCATATTTGCACTTCAGAGGAGTGGCAGGTAAATTCCTTATATTATATACTTGAATGAATTATTCTAGGTAAAAATTAATGAGTGGTTACAAAGGTTATGCGGATACAGCAACACTTAGGTTAGTTATATTACATTTTTTCTTTTAATCAACTGTAATATAACATGATTTAAAATGAGGTTGTTTTGTTTTTCTCCTATTGGAGGAGAGAAAATATTTAATAGTGCAAATTCATCTTGTAGTATCCAACATCTCCACATATAAGAGGAGGCTGCTATCAGTGGAGCCTTCTTTTTGTGATGTTAATAGAGCAGTCTCAAAATAAGTTAATTCACATTTGCTTCTGTAGTTCTTAATGGCATGATAGGTCTGTTAAGAGAATGACTAACAGATCTTGATGCATCTGTGTGGTATTCTATTTTAAACTTGGTACAATTCTGGCATGTAATCAGGCTGTTCTGGAACTCACTGGGCTCCAACAACCAAGCAGAAGACAACTTGCAGAGTGCTCAGTTAACAAGTACAGCAACTGATAGAGCATTCAGCAATTAAGTACCCTATAAATCAGAAAAATCACTGTGCAACAGTAACTGGAAATACTTAGCTAAGATCATGTTACTGTGTTAAAAGGTCAAAGAAGTGGGAAGGAGAATGTCTCTGCTTCGTAAGTTTTAGAATATCTAAGCAATTACGGTAGTTTCATGACTTTAGGCTGCACGTTGCTCCTCTGGAAAGTAATGTTGTCATACAAGTCTGGCATAAAAGAAATGATTTGAGCTGAGGCTGTGAGGAAGTTTATAATTTCAAAATGGATGGAGGTCAGTGACAAGGGGGGGGGTCAGTGCTCTGATATCTTCATCAGTGACAACAGTGAGGTCAACTGCACCCTCAAGAAGTTTGCTGATGACACCAAGCTGTGGCGGTGCATCTGACACACTAGAGAGAGGGACCTAGACAGGCTTGAGCAGTGGGCCTAGATGAACCTCATGAGGTTCAGCAAATCCAAATGCAAGATCTTGCATCTGGATTGAGGCAACTCTCACAACAAATACAAGCTGGGGCATGAAAGGATTGAGCACAGCCCTGCTGACAAAGACCTGGGGGTACTGGTGGGTGCTAATGTGGGAGTACTGCATTCAGATGTGGAGTCCTCAGTACAGGAGAGACATAGACCTGTTGGAGTGCATCCAAAGGAGAGCCACAGAAATAATCCTCTCCTGCAAGGAGAGGCTGAGAGCTGGGGCTGTTCAGCCTGGAGAAGAGAAGGCCTTTTGGTATCTAAAGGCGAGCTACAGGAAAGCAGGGGACAGACTCTTTAGCAGGATCTGTGGTCATACAATAAAGGGAGATGGCTTAAAGCTTCAAGAGGGTACATTTAGGTTGGATATAAGGAAAAAAAAGTCTTCTACAGTGAGGGTGGTGAGGCACTGGAACAGATTGTCCAGAGATGTGGTTGATGCCCTGTCCCTGGAAACTTTTGAGGCGAGGCTGGATCAGGCCCTGGTCAACCTGACCTAGCTGTGCATGTTCCTGTTTGCTGCAGGGGAGTTGGACTAGATGACTTGTAAATGTCTCTTCCAGCTCTAAGGATTCTATGATTCTATGTACTTTTCTGGTGTGACTGTAAGAATAACTGTGTACAGTTTTAGTGGATCACTAAAGTTTTGACAGAATAGGCAGCAAAGTTTGTATTTAAGAGTTGCATTTAATGTATCCGAAGCCCTAGGCTACTGTATCTCATGATCTGATGCTAATAAGGGAAAGTAAAGTTTACATGATATGCAATTGAGATGCATTTATATATACAAATAATAAAATTACACAAGAAAATATGTATATAGTTTCTTTAACGTTAATTTGTGTAGGCTAATGAATATGTTTGATCCTTTGCAAGCTGTTATAATATAGAGTTTCCTCAGGAAACTGATTAACTAGATAAATTCAAATCAGATATTTTTCATTGAGAAGTAACAGTTGCCTGCAATAAGTGTGTAGAAAGATTTGAAATGCCTCAGCTAATGACTGCTAAGGAGGCTATGGGGTTATTTCAATTAGGATTATGGACTTAGTTTTTTCTTTTCTTGAAACTTTTCATTAACAAAAGACTGTTGAATAATAGGATGCTGATGGTTTCACTGTGACATGGGTATGAAAGTATTTGCATTATGGCTGCAAGAAATGGCATTCATTGGCATAGTGAGTTTAGCTGGGTCAAATTGGGGAATTGTTTGCACATGTTCACATAGCCTCTGGAGTAAAATATATTAAGTCAAACTTTCCTGAGGACTGTTTTTCAAAAATCTGTCCCTTACTCAGATCTAATTTTCTTTTAGTCCCAAAACAGAGAACAAGAGCCTTTGCAGCTTGTAGCTGAATTTTCTTATGAATTTGTCAGCCTCTGGCTCACCCAAATCTCTCTTTTGTGCACTCCTTAATAATTTAAGCATTCTTTTACTATTCCCTTTGGTAAATTTTAACAAGGTCTGATGCTTTTCCATAAAAGTGTCTTTTCTAATTTTGAAAATATGTGAACATAGTACTTGAAGTAAGCAATATGTGCATCTGGGCTTCTCTTTTATCTCTGAGGCTGTGCACTCCCTGTGCTGTCATCACTTAATCCATGCTTTGCTGTAGTGGCAGGAAACTGGCGTAGAGAGAATTCTCTATTGTTGACTGTAGAGATTGAGTCAATGTTTTCTTAGGTTAGAGAAGCTCCCAGCATGAAAGGGGAACAAAAAAACCTGTATATTCTTGAATGAAATATATACTCTGAGATACTAATGGGGTTGGGATTAATCTATTCATCTTCCCATACTTTCCCTAATAATAAGATAAATATGCTGTTGTGATTTGAGCTTATAATTCATTAGTAAAAGTGAGGCAGAAGAGGCAGGCAGATGCTAGCTTTTTCACTAAATGCTCCAAAGGTGTTGTCTATAGCAGCACAAACTGCCTAACACTTGTCTAGAAAAAAATAAAAATAGTAATTCTAGAGCCAATAAGACCGTGTGCTGTCTGGTTTATTGGGAATCTGAGTGAGCATTCTGATTTGTTTTCTTGTAAGCACATAACTACTATCATTCTTACATGTTGCAGGCAAGGATGCTGAATTGGTGTAGTTACCAAATAGAATATCTGGTAAGGTGTGCAAATGTGTGGTATCTATATTTCTGTAAGTTTGGAGCAAATCTAAATTCTTGTTCAACTTTTGACCATTTTGATTTTAAGATGGAAAGTTCAGAGAAGGATTTCCAAAATAAGGAAGCTGAAGATTATCACCATTTGTTAAGGGAGATCTACTTACTTTCTTCACTTTTGTCCCAGTGACTTTGATAGATGCCAATTTAACTAATTTCCGTGCTGGAAAATGGAATTTCTTGAATATTCATTTTGTTGAGTCATGCATAGGAATATTTTTATGAATGTTTCATTTTTATTGTAATTTGTACTTGGTGATTTGAAGTATTAAGTGATATCAACAAGTGCCTCCATTGGCTTTATCTCTTCAGATCAGAAGGAACTGGGACTAAGGAGGAAGATTCAAAGAGATGAGTTCTTCTGCAGCTTTTGCAGTAAGAAATATCATTTGGGAAAGCAAATTTTATTTGATAGTAATAAGAAGTAGCTAACTGTCATCGAAGGACATTTCATTATATACTAGGCAAGAGCTACTTTGATTGCAAGTATTTCAATCTTGAAAATTAATATCTGGGTTAAAGTTTGTAGTGTAGATTGTCAGAAGTTGAAATTAGTTTGTTATTCCATTCTGTTCCAATTAATTGATGTTCTTCTTGCAGTGGTGAGCTGATCTGTGTCTGAGGGGGTTTATAAGGAAAATGGAGAGAGACTTCTTACTAGGTCCTCTAGTGATAGGGCAAGGTGTAATGGTTTTGGATTAAAAGAGTATAGACTTAAATTAGACATGAGGAAGAAATTCTTTATTCAGATGTAGCAAGGCACTGGAGCCCAGAGAGGCTGTGGATGCTCCACTGATGGCCAGGTTGGATGGGGCTTTGGGCAACCTGGTCTAGTTGGAGCCTCCCGGGCCATAGCCTGGCAGGTGAGTGGGACTGGATAGTCTTGTCTTTTAGGTCCCTTCCAACCCAAACTGTTCTGTGATTCTAAGTCTTTGAGTTTAAACTTTGCCTTGACTACTTTGGTTGATATGTGTTATTTCACACATCATTTTCCATACTGAAATATGCTGGCTAATACACTGATATGGCTCTCAAACCTTCATAAACACAGATAATTTTGGATGTCTTGCTCAGATACAAGCTGAGGAGTGTTGGAGAAAAGCCTAAGACTGCACAGCCATTCTCCTCTATATTTCTTTGAAGAATTGAGGACACTGCAGATGTGGCAATTCAGTGCATCTTACATGAGATTGATGGTTGGTTTTTCATTATTTACTTTTTTAAAACACTTAATATAATTCAAGAGCAAGGGTATGATCTGGCTGAAATCTTCTGGGGCTCTATTTTTGGTTAAACAACCTTGATTATTTCTGCAAGAAAGTCATCTATGTTCTAGTTTGAGGACTGAGTGCTGCGATTACTGACACACAAATGTAATGGTTGCTTGCGCAGTTTTATATAAAAATACACTAAGTTCAGATTCCTTAAATAACCCTTGGTTAAGATGTTAGTGCTAAAGTGTTGGCTTGTGAGTAGGAGGTAGATTATATGTTGTAGCGTTATATAAAACTGACTCACATGAGTAGGTGAGAAGCCCAAGAATATCAGAACACCCACACTAGTGAAAGAAAGATGCAAAGCTTCCTCTGTACAACATGTTCCAAAGGCTGCATTAACAGAACCAGCTTTAGTTTGTTTGAGTAGTAACAGAATTTTTCAGTGTTTTAAGAAATCAAGTGCTACTGCTTTGACTGTTTGTCTTGGAAAATGGAACTAAAGGTGAAGGATTTTGTTCTGAAAAAGCTGCCTGCAGTTCTGGGTAAATAGCTGCTGAAAATAAATCAGAAAGTTGAATTATCCCCACAAGCAAGCAATAATTACATTGGAACACT